CTGGATGGCCCACGAGGTCTCTTCCAACTCTATGATTCTATGCGTGCACACCACATGCATAGACTCTTTGAAACCATATTAAGGTACTTAATTGGTATGCAATACCATCTTGTGACCCATCTATGACATTTGTCAAAGCATTTTTTTACAAAAATTTACATATAAAAACGGTAGCAGGATGGGAGTCAAAAGCAATAAGGAATAATTGCTCTTTGGAGAAAACAGCTCACCGAACGTCAGAAGGGCACGACCTGATATTTCCATTTTTTTCCCCTACCTAAAATGCATTAACACGATCTTGTGGGATTCCTAAAGCAGGTGTTTTATTGTGAGCGCTGGGAATTAAGCTTTTATTTCTCAGCAGGAGAAAGAAGTCTTAATGAAGGACAACTGAGGACAATGAACACAGGCCCAGAGGTACATCCCCTTGGTCATAAGTCTGATGCATCTGTCCACCATTTTGTTCCAATGACACAAGGCAAACATGGCCCAGGGGATTTCCTGAACATGGCAACATACGTTCTGGTGCTGAAGGTAAGAAGAACTAATCATGTGGGAATTATGTGGCTCTTGAATGTAGCTGGGCTGCAGGATACAACAGACCTGTAAAATGTAGCCAATAGTGGGAGTTGCAGGCATTTTTTATTTCATTTTTGAAATAAGGTGTAATAATAAGGGGGGGGGGGAGAGAAAAATAAATATATCATGTTTTCCAACAGACCTCACAACCTATGAGAATGCCTGCCATAGATGCATGCAAAACGTCAGGAGAGAATGCTTCTGGATCATGACCATACAGCCCGAAATAGCTACAACAACCCAGTGATGCTGGCCATGAAAGCATTTGACAATACATAGAAATGCAACAGTACCTTTAAGGAGGGTTTATATATGTGCACATGTTTCCATATATATCTGCCCATGGGCTCAAAGCCAACCTTTAAAACTCTGGCATAGAACTGGGAAGCCCTGGCCCTTGAGCGCTCCAGCTGGAGGTCAGCTGTGACCAGCAGCACTGTAGAATTTGAAGAGGCATGAATGGAGGGCGAAAGAGAGAAACGTGCCAAGAGGAAGGCACGTCAAGCCAACCCCAACTGGGACCGTCTTCCACCTGGAAACCAATGCCCTCACTGCGGGAGAACATGCAGATCATGAATAGGGCTCCACAGTCACCTATGTACCCACCGCCACTACACCTATCTTGGAAGACAATCCTACTCGGACAACAATCGCCTAAGCAAGTATATTTGTACACATGTTTCCATGTATATCTGCCCACTTTTTCAGATACAAGACAGAGAGATGTCAAAGCCTCATCTCTTTAGGCCTATTTATTCAGTTATGGGAGTGGAACAGAATAACAGGATTCAGGATGCAAATCGTGACCCTCCCCCTAAAACTATGAAGAGCACTTATTGGTTAGGGCCTATTTATTTATTGTGTCAGATATGAATTGAGAATACAGTTATGATGCATTTAAAAAACACAACGTTTAAAACTTGGCATTACACTAAATGCCCTTTGACCAGAAACTGGCCACTTGGGAGTACCTCTGCATTTTCCTCATTCTGCCTAACAGTGGGACTTCACATCTGCCTCACCCAACTCCAAAGAATGGTGATATCCTGGCTTGTCTAGGGCCAATACCGCACTCCTACTTATGTTACTATTAGAAAAACCCTAAAAATAGAAGACGAGTTATTTCTGACTTACGATGATCCTAAGGTAAACTTATCATTGGTTTTTCTAGGTGAGATTTGTTCAGAGGGGGTTTGCCATTGCCTTCCTCTGAGGCTGGGTGTGTATTACTTGCTCAAGATTACTTTATCTAGTAGATTTCCATGGCTAAGCAGGTATTCAGACTTTAATATCAAACACATAAACCACTGCACCATGTTGTTTCAGAAAGATGTGAGGATCCCTCCAATAACACGTAAGCTATTTGAAGAATGATGGCAAACCTAGTTCAGCACAAGGCGGGAAGCTACTGCAATTAAAAATGACAAAATAGCATTCACATGCTTTAAAGACACACTAAAAGCAAAAATCAGCCAAACCTTACTCCCCATTTATCAAAGTGCCTGCAGTTTCCATTGAAAGGATGATGATGAATGTAAGGCAAAGAAATTACATGCTGCTTGGGCCTTTTTCACCAGAGCGATCTGTGTCAAATTCCTTGGAAGATGTAAGATCCATTAAAACACCCGTTATTGTCTAACCCAGATTAACAATGGGTTCTTTTTTACCACAGAAAACCGTTCACAAAAGCTTTTTTTTCCATGTCCATCCTCCAAGACTCATTGTGCTCATGGAAAGGGGAGAGCATTTTAAGGAAACTTAGGTAACTCTTTTATGTTTCATTGATTCTGGGATTTAAGTGTATTGTTATCTCTGAACTATGCCTATTTGATATATAGTGCCAGAAAGACATGCAACGCTCTCTACGTGGGGTTGCCTCTGAAGACTGCCCGGGAGCTGCAGTTAGTCCAACACTCGGCAGCCAGACTACTAACAGGTGCTGGGTAGAGGGAGCACACCACTCCGCTGTTACACCAGCTCCACTGGCTGCCAATTAGCTTCCGAGCACAATTCAAAGTGCTGGTGTTAACCTATAAAGCCCTAAACGACTCTGTCCCTGTTTACCTCTCCGAACATATTCTCCCCTATGAACCATCAAGATTATTAAGATCGTCTGGAAAGGCCCTGCTCTCGGTCCCACCGGCCTCGCAAGCGCGTCTGGTGGGGACGAGGGACAGGGCCTTCTCGGTGGTGGCCCCTCGACTCTGGAACTCTCTCCCACTGGAGATCAGAACCGCCCCTTCTATCCTGACATTTAGGAAACAGGTGAAGACGTGGTTATGGAGACAGGCATTCGACGAGTGAGCCAACACCCTGAGATATGGATGGAGGATGATGAACAACGATTTTAGTGTGACGACTGACCATTGTAGTTATTGAATGTAATTGCTGTTTTAATGTTTTACTGTAATATGAATTATGATGTTTTATTGACTGTATGTGATATTATGGTTGGAAACCGGTCTGAGTCCCTCAAGAGAGGTGAGAAGGTCGGTATACAAAACTTTTAAATAAATAAATAAATAAATAAATATTTTATCACGAGGCGGGCAAACTGTGTGCATCTTACTACTGGTTTGCCTCACCATGCTCATCAATGGCTCCCAATCTCATTACGTTCCCATCATCTAGTGTAATGTAATGAGTCTCGTCCACTTCTGTGAAAGCATGCTGGCAGTAATGTGATCTCAGCAGACCAGATTCACCTCTTCTCTCTTTGCGCTAGTTCTAAGATGGTAGTTTTCCTTTTTATGCCTCCTTTTTAAATGTTGGAAATGTGTAATTGTGCTAAAATTAAAATAATGAAAGAAAATAAAGGAACCACAGTAGAGCAGGAAAGTTACCAGGGGGTATGGAAATACAATCACAGTACCATGGAATAGTGCATTGATGCAACTCAGCTACTGAAGAGAGGTGCAATAGCAAAGATGCTCAATCCAGTATGTATCCATTATCTGCATTAACTCTAGCAGAATTGCAGGTTGGTGTGATAAAGTCCATACCCTACATTTAATTTCCTCAACCAGGTGTCTTTCTTGTTTTTGAACTACAACTCCTACGACACTTGGACATTGATGATGTTTTCCAGAGTTCTTGAGAGTTGTAATTCAAAACTTCTAGATGGCTCTAAATTAGGGAATGTTGCTTTATATGATGAACTGGATAGATAAAAGAAAATTGAGTCAGTCAACAGACCGTATCAAATACAAAACAAATTGCCAAATACATATAAATTGCATTAAATTTAAAAGAAGATGAAACCTATTATATGACTGCTTTCAGCACAGTCTTCTTGTTCCTTTTGCCTTAAACTGCTTTAATTGCAAAAAGGGGCAACTTTCTATGTCACTAGCTAGTTAGAATCTTGCAAGAAAAAAACTGTTTATCTTCACTCTCCCCAATTTTCCATATATCTAAAATAATGGCATAAATTGTATTCTACAGAATTGGAATAAATCCAACATTATAGCAAGCAGTCAGCCAGATCTTCTATTTCAGTTGAGTACCTATACTAAAAGTGATTTGCTATACAATTGTGCTAACATTCACCATGTTGAGCCTCTATTAGAGAGCTTGGTCTACCTGCCTGGGTAAGGTCCTAAATTCCATTAGGTTAAATATAAAAGTACTCAGCAGTAACCACCATTGGAAATCTTAACTTATAGGCAGGTTCATGTGAGAAGAATTAGATTCCTAAAGGAACCAAAAGCTGTAGATACTCTTGAGTGAAGAGAGGACAGTAAGGAAGAATGAATGAATGAAAATTGTATATAGATTCTACTGTGTTGTGTTTAAAGCACCTAGCTGGGATGACCAGAGCCAAGCTGTTGTTGTATGCCTTCAAGGCATTTGCAACTTATTTAGAGGGAATTGATCTTGCTTTCCTCTGAGGTTGAGACTGTAACAACTTACCCAAGGACACCCAGTGAGATAGGCGCCCCCGGTGGCACAATGGGTTAAACCCTTGTGCCGATAGAACTGCTGACAGAAAGGTTGGTGGTTCAAATCCAAGGAGCAGGATGAGCTCCCATCTGTCAGCTCTAGCTTCTCATGCGGGGAAATGGGAGAAGCCTCCCACAGGATGGTAAAACATCTGGGCATCCCCTGGGCAACGTCCTTGCAGATGACCAATTCTCTCACACCAGAAGCGACTTGCAGTTTCTCAAGTCACTCCTGGCACAGAAAAAAAAACAGTGAGATTTCAAGGTTGTGGTGGGATTCAAACACTGTTCTCCAGAATTGTACTTCATTGCTCAAATTGCTATCCTACACAAAACACCAGGACAAGGACATTGTTAGCACAATGACATCTAAAAGTGATCAACTTTACGGATCTGTTGAAAGACCTTTGCTGATAACTACTTCATTTGCTTTATTTCAAAGCTTTGCCTTAGTTGGAAAAGAAGAGATTTAAATTACAATGAGTTTTAATACTTTTTATTTTGAGTTTTATCACAATGCTTGCCAACCCTAAATAGTATGACACAAGATGGTATGAAACCAAATGATGTAACTACATAATAATAATAATAATAATAATAATAATAATAATCTTTATTTGTACCCCGCCACCATCTCCCCGATGAGGACTCGGAGCGGCTTACATGGGGCCAGGCCCGAACAACAATTACAATAAAGAAAACCAAAACACAACCGAAAACGCAAAAATAAACATCATAATTACATAAAACATATGAATACATAACAATATAATTACAAATAGACACAGGCACAGAGACAATGGGCGGGCTACATGTAATTATTAAAAAACAGCTAATTAAAACTAATTAAAAACTCAGACAAGATAAAAGAGAGAAGCAGATAATATGTGGAATAGTACTTATCATGGCAGGGGTTGTGGAGTCAAGCTTCCCCACAAGGAGGGGGGGGGCGTCCACTCTAATGACAGAATTATCACCTAAACAGTCATGTGAAATTGTGTACCTACTCATCAAAGGCACAATGGAAGAGCCAGGTTTTAAGATTCTTCTTAAAAACTTCTAAAGGGGCTTTTTGTCAGTATATGAAGATTTTCAAATGAAGCCACTTTCTTTGACTGCCCTGTCACCAGACGTATGCTGAGTGTCTAAAGGAAAAGGCCGACTGCAATGTTGCCAAGACTCTGTGATCATGGAATAATCTCCACAAAATCAACCTGCCAAGCCCCTACTATTTCTGTTGAACAACATATAAAGAACATTAAAAAAAATCCTGTTTTTAAATATAATTGGGTTGATTGCAGCTCATGGCTTGAGATTATTTTTGTCTTTTTCTCATTTTCATTAACCTATCTCAGGATCTTGTTTGAAGGGCAGAGATTTCACTTCTCTAATAAGTCGATAAAGTCTTGGCCCCATTAACTGGCATGATGCTGCTCCCCAAAAGGAATGCTGTTGTCAACAGAAATAGCAAGAGCACAATTCCGACCCTTGATTTTGGGTAGTCGAATCTTGTGTCATGACAAGCAGAAATGAATTCCAGATGGTACTATGTCTTCAAGAGGCAAAAAAAAATGGCCTCATTTTTGTGACACGAGAATGTCATTTAGTGTTTCAAGAGTTTCCTCGCAGCCAACCAACGTTACTAATCAACAGCTCAGCATTTTGCTGTAAGCAAGAAGTGTCAAGAATGCCTTCTCTTGGGAACAATTGATCTCAGGTTCTTCCGTTTTCCAAAATACGACTCTTCCACCGTTACTCCTTCAGCTAATGGCAGCAGAGGCATGAAATGTTAAGAGCCCTGACAAAAAAGCAATGCTGTTTTCATCGGCAGCACAAAGGTAGGTTTCCCTTTCAGACGCCCAGCTGCAGCACAGGCAAAGTCAAAATGATTCTTCTGAGGCAACTTGCCAAAGAAAAATGGAAAATATGACAATCCTTATCATCCCGCTGTTTTCTATTGCATATTCATCAAGCACAAGTAACAAGCTACAGGAAGAAATGGCCAGGTGCCACAAACCTCTCTGAAAACTCTGAAATCTTTAAAGCACTTTGCGAAGCGTGGATCCTGGTTTCTATACAAGGAGAAGCAAGCAGGAGAAATGGACGTGGAGAGGCAAAGCTTTGAAAAACAGGGCTTTTAACTTGGCACTGAATGTTGGCAGGCAAAAATGCAAAGTGAGTTTTCATGCTGCAAGAAAAAGAACTTCGTTAACTAAATGGGGAAGGGATGAAGCAAGCAAGACACAGTGTCTAATTCAGGAATTGTCAAGGTGCATAAAAACAAATTAAGAACTGTTCTATATCATTCCAAAATTAGGCAGTATTTTTATTAGGCAGACACAAAAGGTTCACGGGTTTAGTTATTTATACAACACAACCAACACACATGGCGTGTTAGAAAATATAAGAGGACAGATCATTACCCCAAATAGAGGAGACAAAAGAAGAGAAGATATAGATTGGACATACAGAGGAAGAAACTGTGCCTCTATTTCTTACATGTCATTAAGGCTTAACCTCTAGAATAAAGGGCTTTATCAAAGGATGAACTGGGAAAGTACTTGGTAAAATAGAGAAGTGAAGAAAAATGTTTTAATGTTTGGGTGAGCTATAGTGTTTATTTATCATATAAGCCACAAAGCAGAAATAATAGACATACACAGGGTCTATTCTCAAGAACTTCTCGAAGTATTGTTTTTATTTATTTTGGCTAGTCTTTTTGGAAGTGTGACCAGAAGAAAGCAATTCTAAAATAAAGCTATGTCAAAGTCCAATTGAATTTTGCACAAAAATATGTAGGAAACACACCAGACCTGTAGAAAAAAAGGTTCTCTGGTCTGATGAAAACAAAGTGGAATGAGAACAAAATGCTATGTGTGACACAAACCCAACAGTGGTCATTGTCCTGAGAACATCTTCCCCACAATGAGACCTGGCAGAAATATATCAGGTTATGGAGATGCATCATTTAGTTAGTACAAGACCTATGGAGCAAAATACAGGGCAATTCTAGAAGAAAACCTTTTTCAGACTGCAAAGTACCTGGGGATCAGGCAAAGATTCATCTTCCAGGAAGACAATAACTCTTGACATGCCACAGGTTAACAGGCATAAATTTGAATGTTTTAGAATGGTTCATTCAAACCTCAACCCTCTTGAGAATCCGTAGCAAGACATAAAAGTGGCTGTTTACCAATGGCTCCATCCAACTTGATAGCTGTCAAATTTTCCAAGAAGAACTCAGAAAAATACAAAATACAAATGCTAAAGCTGACCCAGGAAGATTCACAACTATACTTCTGTTGCTACTAACAGTTTACTAAAGGCTTTTTGCTAAGTAATAGCAAGGATCTGAACCATTCTATTATAGCACTAAAGCAGCTGGTATGGTTTAGTTGGGTGTGTTATCTACCTACTGTAAAAAACAAAGCACTCAGTTTATAGTTGTTGAGCTTTGCATTTGCTTAGCTTGGCTCTGTCTAGAGCTGATAGCTCGTCAGAGCTGGTTGCAGCAGGTGGCTGTTTTGTTGCTGGGAGCTGACACGTGGCGTTTGGAAGCTGGAAACTGAAGCTTAAGTCAACGCCAAGAAAGACTGCTTATCTAAACTACAGTAGACCCCGGTTATTCAACCTCCGCTCATCCGATACTCTGTATTATCCAAATGCTATCATGTGGCCGATTGGAAACATTACACCTTTGATATGTGCTCATGAGAGCGGCTGGCTTTCTTTCCCATCGCAAAAACTGGGAGGAGAAGGAGGAAAGTGCATGTCTAAAGGGATGGGAGAGAAGGTGGGTAAATCAAGAGGAAGAGAGATGGGAGGGGGAAAAAAAACGGAGGAGGGTAAAGGGAAATGCGATGGCTCTCCTTTTCTCTCTCTCTCTGCTCTTGGCGCAGGCAGAGCCTTGCTCTCCTGCTTTGGAGACTTCTCTCCAACCCAGCCTTGTTTCCAAATTGAGAGGTGGGGGGGAGGGCTTATGGCTGGGTTGTCAAAGAAAGAAGTTTCACTGAAGAAAGTGTTTGTTAATTATACTGCGGTGAGATCAACTATTCTGATTTGATCATTGTTGAACTAAACTGAACTAACTATTTTCTTTTCTACTTAAAGCCACAACTGACTCATGTGTATTTTTGAGTTCAGGCTCACACTATATTAAAGGGGGCTGAAATATCTTTAACAGGATATGTGCTTGCTTCTGTGATCTGCTATCACCAGTCTGACAACTTCTGCTAAGCACTGGCTTAGAAAGATGAATATTTTTGGACCTAACCAATGTCATTTTTAATATACTTCACTTTTGTGTCACAGTGAACATACTTTGAAGGCCACCATAGTGTAGTGGTTTGAGCATTGGACTACAACCCTGGAGGGTTCAAGTCCCTGCTTAGCTATGAGAAGCCACTGGGTTGAAAGCACAAGGAGAAAATACTTCTGCCTGGTACTCTATATGTTTTGGGGGGGAAAAGATATACTTCTTTTAAAGTTTAAGAAAGAGATTGTGCAAACCAACTTATGATCATGCAGCTGGACATTTCCTCCTTCCTCCCACATCTGCAAGACCCTCCTATCTCCCCATGCAAATCTGCTGGGGAAGACTCCCCAACTGCCAAAGGTTTGGGGAGCATATTGGGTGGCTGTAAATGGGAAGAAGAATCCGATCCACTAGTGGTGTCCATTTCACTTTTGGATGCACTCTAGATCTAACCCAGTGTAAAGAGAGTGAGCATTTCTGGTGTACAGAAATCAACTGCAGTCCCATTGCAATGCAAATCCTGTGCTGTTTTGCCCCAATTCTCCAGCCATACTCTTTTCAAACCTCTTCCCACAACTTCAAACAGGACTGGTCTGAATCTTTGCACTTTTGGCCAAGCTAAAAGTGCTGGGAATATACATTTAAAACTACAACCATATCAAAATATATAGGTCAGATGTTTTCAGTGAATTCAATCATCAATCATTACATTTGCGATCTTATTTTAAAAAGTGGGGCACAAAATAAAGAATCTGAAGCTGGACAAAAATCACCAGAGAAACCTTACCAAGTGGAGACCCATAGCTCAAAGATAAATCCTTGAACACTTTCGTCCCCCAAGTAAGCAAAAACACTGAAAGCAAGGAAATCCTGCAGGAATCAAAATAAGAGCTGCATGTCTCATTAACTGTGGAAGCTTTATAGGAGGCACGAGTCAGGAGAAAAGTACTGATAAAACACATTCAACCCAAGTTTGCTTAGATTCACTTAAATTCTGTTCATAAAATATTGTTTGTGTCTACTTTGTGGTGGCAGTAACAGAATCTTCTTTACACTCCTTTGATTTTCTTTGGAATACTTGATCTAGCTAACCATGTGCACACAATCATTCCTCTGTGAAGCTGAAACATAAGGGAAGCCTGTGATCTAAAAGAAATATTTTATGGCACCCAGATAGTTGCTACAACCTCATTTCAAGGAAAAAGCTTCACATACAGTTTCAATGTTTACTACTTTCTAATTCTTTAAATGCCACCATTGTGCAGACCAGCAAATATATTGCCCCTGAACAGGCAACAAGGAGACAGCAATTTCAGCATGTAGGAGACCGCACTTAATGGCTGGCTCACTGAAGCATTACTTCAGTAGTAGCAGGAAAATAAGCTAAGCCATGAAGCATCTGTGCTAGTAATAAAATTAAATGCTACAGAATCTTATCAAGAGGCACGATGCTATTGAAAAAATATGTCACAAATCAAGAAAGAGTTAGGACCCTCAGAAAAATATTTCCACTTGAGAAATATTTCTTAACAAACACAATATAGTCCTGTACATGCTTACTCAAAGGCTATTCCCACTAAGAATCTAGCAATATAGGTCACATCCCTGAAGTTGATCCAAAATGGGGTACTCCCGATCACCAGCCAGAGACTCCACCCAACCAGCCATCAAACCGGCTTGGTAACTAGTGGGTGTCCACACTGTGTGGCCCAGGAGCTAGTCCTCATAGTCCAGTTCAGTGCCACCCTTACTGTCCCCATTGTGTCCATGGCTTAGTGGCAACCAATGGGTGTGAAATTGCTGGTGGTCATCACTAGCATTACCTGATAGCGGATGGAGCACAAAAGTGACGTGAGAGAGGTAAGGGAGGAAACGAAGAATCCCTCTCTCCTTTCCTGCTTCCTCCTCTGATTACTCTGGCACTCTTCTTAGCGTTAGTAGATGTGATAAGTCACAGCCACCGGGGAAAGTGGGATAGCCATGTGAATAGCCATGGCTAGTTCCAAATATGAACCCGCCCAACAGTTTACGCAGCCACAAAATGTGAGCAAACTCTGGAGCTTCAGGAAACCTCTGGAGCATCTCCCAACATTGTTCAGCACAGAACAAAACTGTGTTAATTGGCCTTGGAGGGAACAACTGGGCCCTGTGGACACCACAGACCCCATTTACTCCCACCCCAGCTCATTTGGTCCATGTAGATGGGCCCTTCATTTAGTGAGGATTACTCCTATGTAAGTGGTTTCAGGATTGTAGCAATCATAGCACTTAACTGAATACGTAATTATTGTGAATTTCATTCCTGATTTCTCAAAACTACTTTAATTTTATTAAGTACAAGAAAAACAGTTCATCCTTGAAAGGAAGTTTTATATGTAGCCCTTTTGGACACAAAAAAATCACTAAAATTATTAATTTTCTGGCATTATTAAATAGTCTCCCGAGCGCTCTTATAAAAAAGAGTGGTTAGTACCCACACACCTTTTTATGTTAGCACTTTAAATATGTAGGGTTTCATATGAAAAGCTTTCCTACTATGCCTTTCAAGAAAGGATGTGGAGTTCATAATTTTTAATTAAGCTGGCTGCAACCAGTTTGTATAATAAAGTTTAAAGGTATTTGAAAACATACACTGTAACAACCCTAGCTTTGTTTTCAAAGAGCAGCTTACTGCTACTTGATTTCAGAGGAAGAAAACTTATCTCTATTTCTAGGGACTATTCACAAAGCAATTACAGGCTGGATATAACAGGTATCGCAGACAAGGTTTGAAAGCCCAGGCAATATTTGCATTCATATATATTTCAAAAATAGTTTTATTAAGAAAACAGTGGAGAACAAGGGGGGAAATCCAGCATATCAAGGAGCATAAATGAGAAGGGTTAGCAACTCAAAATATTTGCTTAAAGAAATTACAAAAAAACCTATTCACAATACTGTCCCATTGCCAAATTCTCTACAGTTTCTATGTCAGAAGAGACAACTGTTTTTCAAAATTGATGTACATATCACTATTTAAATATTTCAATACAGAATGCAACATGCCAGCATATAATATGATGGTGGCTAAGTAATTATCAAGAGAACTGCTTCAACATCCAGGAAGGCACAGCCAAAGTGATGATGCAAACGGGACAAGATGGTCCTTAATCTTCAGCAAAATAATCCTCCAGCCCTTCCAGCTCCATTTCTTCTGGCGTATTTGAAGAGGAGAGTGTGGAGTTTGTTGCTATGCTTTTCTGGTTGCTGTACTTTGGCTGGGAGTTTTCAGGTTGTCTTTGTTCTTTTTTTACTTCCTTGACACCACCAAGCAGCTGCTGACTCTCTACAAAATACTGATTTGGATGGTTCAGAGAAAACCCAATGTCAGTGACCTGTGTAAGAAATAAAAGGAAACAGGAATGTGTTGAATTACAAAGTCTCAGAGTTATAATCCCACAAGTTTCCTGCCATTCGTAGCACAGCAGAAAGGTAGAGGGAAACACTTTTCAGCTAGTCCCGCTCTTGACCTCTCTCTTACCACCTCCCTATTCCCCACAAAACCGATCTGCAGAGCTATACACTAAAATTTCACTTGTTCAAGCTTTGAGACAGCTTTCAGAAGGTATTAGTTCAACCTCCTTGAAATAGTATCCATTAAAGCTGCTAAGAGCCAAAAGATGTTTTGATACCTGGTCACCCTGTTTTGTTGAAATGAGAAAAAAAAAGAAAAACAAAAGAGAAAATCAACTCAAGCCTTAAAGAGATGATAAAAGAGTGGGGAAAAACACAAGCTATAATTTAAAGAAGCCATTACAAAGACAAGGGCTATGGGAACTACAGGCATTACTTTTGTTTAGGTTTTTTTATTATTATGATTTCTTCAAGTGTAGGAGTAGAAGCAACAAAAGCTAAAGTAAAAGCTCCCATTGTATACTTACCCACTTTACACATAGTGGCTTTGCAGAATTATGTTGTGGGGTGCCCAGAGAATAGACTGCTAAAAGAATAGTGGTCTAGCTACTAAATTACAGGAGTTTCAGAAACAAATACACTCCTACCTTCCTCCTTGGAGGAGTCGAAGCTCTCTAAAATGGGTTAAGATGGCTCTTAACAATACTGAAGATTTTTGTCAGCACTTTGCTAACACCGCTTTCAGCAATTTTGTAAATATGGATATCCCTCCTGCTGTGGCAATACAATACATACTTTTTCCAGAGGCTGCCCTAGGCTTGGGAAAGTCTTTCTGAGAGAGACTAAAATGGCTGTCTTTCCATCAGCAGGCAAAGACTTTTTCATTCCAACAGGCTTTTGAGAAATTAAGGTTTTTATAAGGAAATAGTTTTTCATAAATTGATGTACTATTTTTAACTGTTTTGATTTTAAACTGATTTTTATTATTTGTTATTGGATGTTTTAAATTGTTTTTAATGTTATTGAGCTCTCAATTTTAACGATGACTTTTTATGTTTGAAATGTATTGTCTTTGTTTTACCTGGTATGAAATCCTAGAGTCGGAGGGAATCCTAAGGGCTATCCAGTCAAACCTGCTGCCATACAGGAATACACCATCAAAGCATCCTCAACAGATGGCCATCCAGCCTCTGCTTAAATGCCTCCAGAAAAGTAAAACCCATCACCCTGCGAGGCAGCATATTTCCCTGCTCTTACCATCAGGAAGTCCTTCCTAATTTTTTTTCATGTCAGAAGCAACTTTGGAAACTGCAAGTCACAAACCCCTGGTGGCACAATGGGTTAAACCCTTGTGCTGACAGGACTGCTGACCGACAGGTCAGAGGTTCGAATTCGGGGAGAGCGGGTTGAGCTCCCTCTGTCAGCACCAGCTCCCCATGTGGGAACATGAGAGAAGCATCAAACATCCGGGCGTCCCCTGGGCAAAGTCCTTGCAGACGGCCAATTCTCTCACACCAGAAGCGACTTGCAGAAGCGCCCTTCCTAATGTTCAAGTGGAATCTTTTTTCTTGCATTTTGAATCTATTGCTCCATGTCCTAGTTTCCAGAGCAGCCGAAAACAACTTGCTACCTTCTCAATGTGCCATCCATTCAAATATTTAAACATAGTTATCGTGTCCTCTTTCAGCCTTTTCTCCAAAGTAAACATACCCAGCTCCCTAAGCCACTTCTCATAGGTCTTGGCCTCCAAGCCTTTGACCATTTTGATTGCCCTTCCAGCTTGTCAATATCCCTCTTGAATTGTGGGGAATTGGACACAGGGTTATCCCAGGTGAGATCTGGCTAAAACAGAATAGAGTATAACTATGACTTTCCTCTATATCAATACTATATTTCTGGTAAGCCATTTTATGTCCATTGCTCCTGGAAAAAAAGAATCAACATAGTGTACTGGTGCGAGCATTGGGTGATGACTCTGGAAACCAGAAACTCCATTCAGCCATGGAAACCCACTGATGATGATGATGATGATGATGATGATGATGATGATGATAATAATAGTAATCAAAATAACAATAATAAAACTTTATTTCTATACTGCCCTATCTCCCCGAAGGTACTGAGGTCAGTTCCCAGCATATAAGGCAAACATTCAATGGCCAAGAAGAAAATCATACAGACAGATTTTTAAAAAGCATCATAAAATACAATAATCCTACTAAAGCTCAACAATAAAAAACCAATTGCAATTATAACTCCATCAGACAAGGTTCAACAAAAACCAATGGCCAGGAATACAAAATGGGCACGGTCAACTATAAAAGGGCTGGGTAAGGGATAGTGCAACAGTGTATCATAGGGCCAAGAAAGTGGAGAAAGTGCAGAACAGAGTACTAACTGATGACCTAGGGACTGGGCCTAGGGACTAATCATTCTCAAAAACCTGGTAGAAAATATGAAAGATGGATAGTGTGGGGGCTTGGCCTAATCTCCCTGGGGAGGGTGTTCCAAAGACGGGGGGGAGCATCACCAATAAGGCCCTCTCCATCGTCCCCACCAACTGTGATTGTGACTGTGGCAGAAATGAGAGGAAGGCCTCCCCGGTGGATCTTAGGGCCCACGCCGGTTCATAGGGGGAGATGTGTTCACAAAGATAGGCAGGGCCTTACAAAGCCGATTTAGGGCTTTGTGGGTCAAAACCTGCACCTTGAATTCAGACCAGAAACTTATCAGCAGCCAGTGGAGCTGCTTTAATAGGAGCATTGTGTGCGCCCTATAACTAACTCCATTTAGAAGCCTGGTCGCCGTCCTTTGTACCAACTGAAATTTCTGGGCTGTCTTCAAAGGCAGCCCACGTAGAATGCATTGCAGCAATCCAATCTAGATGACACCAAGGCATGGACCACCTTGGCCATGTTCAAATTCTCGAGGTATGGTCGCATCTGGCGCACAAGCTTTAACTGTGCAAAGGCCCTCCCGACCACTGTCAACACCTGGGCATCAAGCGTCACTGCTGAGTGCCTGATGACCCCCAAGCTATGTACCTGTGTCCTCATGGAGAGTGTAACCTCGCCAAGCTCAGGTTGCCACCCAATACCCCAATCACTGACTGGAGACCTTCACAATCAGAAATCAATTCCTACCACAACTATGTCCCCAACATTTAAGAGAGATTATGCATCTTTCTTTCTTTTTTGCATGCTCATTAACACAAGCTATGATTAAATCAGTTCTTTAGAAGTAAGCCCTAGTTATTTTAGTCCAAGGATGTTACTTTTTCTATTGAGAACAAGCCATCCACTTTCATGGAGATTTGTATAAACCATGGATGATTCTAAGCAGATAAAGCAAGGCTAAACTTTTAAAGGAGATGAGATGTGCATTTTGTTGTCATTTTTGAACTAGTGTTGAAAATGTTATGTGACTGATATATTCCCTCCGCTTATAAAAATGTTCAAACCCTAATGATAGCCTCTATTGAAGGAAAATCCTAAACACGGATTTCACTTAAAAGCAATTCCTCCTCCAGCAACACTAGATCATATAAAAGCAAAAGCAAATGTAAATGAAAGCAGAACCATATACTGTGCCATGAGAAAAACAGCAAAGCTTGTAATCTAGAATGAAACACAGTAAAGGACTCTGGATTTAAAAACAAGTCTCTTTTTCATCCGCTTTATATTTCATCTATTAAATCTTCAAAGTTTTCCTTCCATTCTACCCATTCTAAATGGTGTCCTTCACACAAAGCTTGGCATCCTTTTAGTGTGATATTGTGTGATTTTTAAAAGAAGCTAAAGCTATGATGCTGAATATGTGATCTTGGGGTTTTAATCAAGAGCTGGCAAATGACAGGTGATAATGAGGCAAGATGGTATTACAAAAAGCCATATGGAATTATTTTAGGTGTTGTAAACTCTAGTACAATTTCTATATTTATCGAAAGAGTGTACTTTTTCTGAGATCCAACCACCTAGAAACTGAGAAGACAACCAACTTATCAAGAGAAATATTTTTCAAGAAAAGGAAGAAAAGCAAAAACTAATCATGATAATCAAAAAATAATCATGGCATCTTTGGGAAACTACATGAAAAGTAGCATTTTCCCTGATACTAAGGGGTGTGCGCATTGACCATTTTTAATGGCTACAACTCTAATTAGATCACTTGCAATTTAATGGGCTTGACAGCTTACTAGAACACTTTGGCACATTCATTTTATTACATTTATTAAGACTACTGGCTCTGCCAAATTATTCATGATAGCAAAACATTTATAGCTATTCAAGCACAAAGAACATGTTTATTTGGATATAAATGTGCCATTTTATCAGTTAAGTCAAAACATATAAATAATTGACATATAAAAATGAAGGAGAACATTTGTTGCAATGTATCTCAAGGGAAAAGAATAACTAATCTCCCTTGTTTCGTCCTAAAAAAACAGGGCTATTTACCTTTTCCTCACAATGGGAACTTACTGCCCTCTGACAAAAAGAAGCAACAGCTACTGATGAAGAAAGCAAGCATTGTTTTGCTACTTTTTAAAAAGATTGCAATCCTGCACATACATCCCTGTTTGGCCATGAAAACACACTGGGCAGATCACCTTGGGCAAGTCACACACTCTCAGCCTCAGAGGACGGGAAAGGCCACCCCCTCTGAAAACCTTGTGACACATTACCATGAAGTTAAAGTGAAACCGAGGGAACCAGAAGAATGTAGGCCCCCATTCACTAGGTTCGACTGATCTGTGCAGTGGGTTAAACCCCTGTGCGACCAGGACTGAAGACCGATAGGTCGCAGGTTCGAATCTGGCGAGAGCACAGATGAGCTCCCTCTATCAGCTCCAGCTCCTCAGGCGAGGACATGAGAGAAGCCTCCCACAAGGATGGCAATACATCAAAAAATTTCTGGGCATCCCCTGGGCAACGTCCTTGCCGACAACCAATTCTCTCACACCAGAAGCAACTTGCAGTTTCTCAAGTTGCTCCTGACACAACAAAAAAGACCTGATCTGCTAGATAACATCCCTGTGGATCTTTTAAACTATGTTAATGGCCTCATGTACAGTAAAAACTGATCAGTTGAGCTATCTCCTTTTTTTTTATCTATCAATCATTCTGGATGCTTTCATGGCTACAAAATGAATTAAAAGTAAATAACATGATGAACCAGCCACATTGAAAGTAGTAAATTCTAACTTATACCACACATTGCTGATATCCTTAAGCCATTGTTTAATTTCATTTTAAGGGATATTACATTGCTGCCACCTATGCCTCGCACACTGGGGCACTGAAGGTAATTCATGGGCGGCACCTGTGGCACAAATATTCAAAGCACAGCTTTTGCTTATAAATTCATTTTCAAGTTTGGTGTTCAATTATAAAAGGACATTTTAAATTAAATTTCATTCATATGAAACCTGAGATGCAATGCAATAACACCACTCCCAATTCTCAAAATGTTTTCAAGTTAAATAACTAGGGAAAATATTGAGTTACAAGTAACAGAAATATTCCTTAGGAAAAAAATTGAGAGGTATAAGCTTTGAAAAGTTTGAAAAGGTCTATTAGAGTGAACTTTATTTCTCTCCTTGCCATGTCCCCATCTACACTGACCATTTAATGCAGTTTCAAGGCAGTATAGAATAAAATGGTTTCACTGTATAGATCAGTGGTTCCCAATCTTTTTTTAAAACTCTCCAATATTTAGTACCAAAAGGGTTACGAAGCAGTTTTTGGTCAACTTTAGATCCGGTTTGGTTATTTGGGGTGCTGATTCAGAAAACTGCATTGGATAGAGTACATCAGCTCTAGTTTCTGATACAGAACATATGCTATCCAGTAGTCGCAATCTGCTCATCCACAGAAAACCATATTTAATAAGCCTTGGCACTATAAGAGGATTTTGCGAGACCAGTCGCTCTCATTGCAATGGTATAGTAACGGTGAGGTCACGGTCCATATTTTAGTTCTTGCAGACCACTGGTGGTCCATGGACCACAGATTGGGAACTACTGGTATAGATGATTACATAGGAAATCCTGCAACTAGTGTAGATGGAAGCTATATCTGAATAGCTTCACTTAGCAACAGAAATGAAAATGCCTTCCTATGTATGGAAATGAACCAGATTTTCAATTTAATGCAACGCCAATGCCATGCAAAGGACTGAATTCAAAACAAGATTATATGGCAAAAAAACAGGAATTAGTAAAGCATAAAATCAAGAATATGGGGGCCTTATCAATGGCTATTATCCATAATAGCAGGGGCGGTATCCGTCTGCACTGGAGATTAGAAAAGGTTGTTATTGTTGTTGGAGACTCCTCCATCCAGCAAGGAATTCAGCCCCATTTCCTGAAATAATCTGGAAGTTGGGAAGGTGCCCTACTCATGATATAAGCCTTTGATCCCACTAAATGAAGTTCCCTATGTTTTCACTTGACATCAACTTTAGCTCTGAACCTTTTGGTTTACTTCATGGGAGCCTTATCAGTTCATGGAGCACAGACATTCAAGTTTATATTGGGCTTCCATGCCAACTTATTCCTTCTTCTGTCTGTCAGGCTCTGGCACTACATTGCATCCAAATCACGCTGACAATGCAACAAAAGCAACTAGCACTATTGCACTGACACTTGCTCTCTTCCCACACCATGGCATTTCATTACTGTTTGTGGAATTATCTTCATCCTAGATCAAGATTATAGAAAGGCCCACAGAAATACACCCCATCGGCCATTTCAAGGACCACAAACAGCTTCCCTAGCAGAGCTGCATCATGATAATCAAGTGAGACCCAAATCCCAATACAAACTCACTCAATTTTTATTTTGATCTAGACCTAAGCAGGACAGTGTCAAAGTTCAGCATAGGATAAGATACAACTTATAAATATGACCTTAAGGTTCCCCGTGCACACATATTTTTTTAAATATCTATAGAACAAGAAAAAATATACTCAGAGTGCATAAACAATGAGTGCTCAGCTGATTTCCTGCCCCTTTCTCACATTTCCTTTAGCTTAGGGAAACTAGCAAAGTTGACATGGTGGCAACATGCCCTATATACTCATGTATAAGCTGACCTCATGTATGAGGGCAGGGTTTGGGGCCAAAATTATGGACTTTGATATGACCTATGGATTCATTATGTGAAGAAGGGAAAGCACAAACGCCACCTCAGGGAACCACCCAAATTTGGCCATTTTATTTTACAATTTTATTTTACAATTTTACCACCCAAGCATTAAAATGCCAGGAGTTGCATCATAGCAAAATGAGTAGAGTGGGTCAGTGCTTCCTTTGGGTTCATCCAGAATAGATTAGGCTCTTGCCTTATTGATAAGCAATATGATAGTTTCATTTTTAATAAGTGCTCACACTAACTAATGGATAAGTCCAGGTTTGGGGAGTTGATTTTTGAATGGAATTTCTAGACTTCTACATGGATATATAGGGTAGTTAAGCTATGCATGTGGTTCATTGCTGTTTTGCTCTCCAATACATCAGAAAAGAACCAAAGAGCTAGAAGAGTGTCTTAACATGGCAGCCCCCATCCGTAGTACTCTCTTGCTGGCCCAAGACGAATTCCCTACTTGTTGCCATGTGTTAAATACAGGTCAAAATTGGGCTATCTATACCATCCAGCTTGGCTCTTCCCTTGTAGAAAAGAATACATACATACATGCAGTTGTTTATTTACCAATATGTATATGTATATATGGCATTGAATTTTGCCTTTATGAGGCCATCTTGAGTACCCTTCAGGGTGGGAAGGGTGGGGTACAAGTGTGGTAAATGAATAAATATAATAGCACATACATATATACATACTTAATTAATTAACTAATTATTTTTATGTACTATATTTTTAAGGAACCGAGGGTCTGGATTTTAAAGAAACATGGGATTGAAATGTGGAGCTGTGAGGAGACGGCATGAGTGGACATCAAATGCTACTGCTTTGTCTACTTCATTTCATTTACTAGACCCAACACAATCCAATTCCCTAAACACAAACAGTTCTGCCACAAAGCCATGCTGCATAACTTTTGACGCATCTTGTTGATTATGTGTACTAAACAATTTGCAAATGCAAAGTGCCTACTCATACACAGAATCAAAGACAGATGCTATATAATCATTAAGAGAGCATAATTAACAATGCATGGCAGTACATGATGAATCTGAATAACAGAAGGCCTAAAATTTCACACTGTAATTCAGACAGTCTTGGTAGAGAGAAGAAAACCAATTGAATGATTAAAACGAAAGAAAAAAATGAAACATCCACTCACATCGTGTGTCAATTCAAAGTATTTCTGACAGGCCACTTGGTAATGCATTCCTTTCACCAGGTCCAAAATCTAGAAAAATCAAATATGTACAACAACAATGTAAATATCCTGCAAGAGAAACATATTACCTTATTGATAAGCAATATGATAAAGGAATCTACATTCTTCCTTACTTTTAGAAGTTACAAGCTCACAACACCCCTAAGCAAGTTTCTCTTGCCTTATCATAATAGCTAAATTATTCAAAGAAAGGTTTGACCTTCCATAACTTCTGGAAAATGAAAGTTGGGGAAAATGGAAGGAAAAAGGAAGACGGTCCAACCCAGGGCAAAATGGATGGATGGTATCCTTGAGGTGACTGGCTTGAAATTGAAGGAGCTGGGGGTGGCTACAGCCGGCAGAAAGCTCTGGCATGGGCTGGTCCATGAGGTCACGAAGAGTTGGAAGTGACTGAACGAATAAACAACAACAACAACAACAAGAACTTCAGATTCCACAACTGCTGCTTGTATTTCACAAATAAAACTGGGGGAAAATGAAGTATGGTAAGTTATTGTCAGGATATGTATCATATTTCACAATTTCTTCCATTATTTTGAACAGAGACTTAGCATGTGAGTGACTAAACATGAACTACTCAGATGATAATTGTTTTATACACAACTTATTTTTATATGTGTGTGGCACAATAAGATTATGTTCACCAAGTCGGGAAAAAAATGAAGTGGGTAATTTACGAAAGAACTTGCAGAAAGCAATTTGTTTCAACCTTCTCTGTAAGATCAGTCCTCAAAGTAAGCTGTTTCTACTGACGCTCCTTGGAACCAGAAAGGGAATTGTCTATTTTGAACTCCTAATAGAAACATCGTTCTATCTCTTGTAAATACAATTTGCTTTCCAATTCTACCTCATGTAATCTCTTCTCTCCTGCATAAGCACTCATTCTTATCAGCAAAATGCAATGCCATTTGAAAATATAAGTTCAATGTCATTTTTCTCCTCCATCGTTACATAATTAAACTGTATATTTACTGCTTATCAAACATAGTGAACTTCTGGACTGGAGAGATAGCCCCAGCAGAGTGAAAATTCTTGAAAAATGCAAATTTCCAAATGCTTTTCCAAAGGCTGACCTTTCTGTGTCAAGCACAGCAATAAACTCAGCACAAATCCCTGCTGTCCTCATTATTGGAAGCTGCCTTATAGTTATTGACAGATGTACAAATAATATTTGCTGAATGTTTCAAACTACAATGCTGCCAAAGAAGTGCTTACCAGATCTGTTTTTGCTGTTACAAGCCCAACTGATTAAATGTCTGCCTTTCCTGTCCTTTCCTGTTAAATACCATGTGGTAAAACAAGTCAACCCACAAGAGAGTATCAAGTCTGGCAATGTCTTTGTGCTTTTGAAATGAAACAGATAATAATATTTAATTTGGTTCAAAACATTCTTGGTTTTGCCAATCAGATCTGTTAATGTAAATACAAACAAACTGAAACTGTACCAAATGGAAGATTACTCTGTAATATACAGAAAATTGGCTGCATAAGATGACTTATAGGAAATTAGATTTGTCTACTGAAAAAAAAATGGATGCTATAGTGGAAATGCTAAGCTAAAGCCTTTAACGGCATCTGACTTGTCTGATATTTATGACAAAAGATTTTAACTAAGAGAAAGTTTTTCTCATCTTCCTGATAGGCCTCTTCAGTTGCTAAAGGAAAATTGAGTACAGTGGGAACAGTTGCTGTTAGGAAACATGCACCTTGCTATATGCTGTATGGAGCAGGTGTGGGGGACATTGACGAACTGCATCTCCCAGTAGCCCTAGCCAGCAAAGCCAATGTGTTGGGATAGATGGGTGATGCAGACTAACAACATCTGAAAGGCCACACATTCTCCATCCTTGGTATGTACAACAGTGATGTGGATCCAAAGGCATCTTGCACAAAGGAAGTCCTGGGTCCCCCCCCCCCCCGGATTTTCTCATTTCTCTTTAGTTGTCCCCCATTTCAGGCAACTCCTCAATTCTTAGGCATATTCTTTGCGGGGTCCAGGTTGTTATAGGAAGAGAGAGAGCCAGAGAAGTCTTAATAGATGAGATTCACTCATCTCTTGACTTAGAAACATAGACTCACAGAATTGAAAGAGGATCCAGTGCAATCCCCTTTGATCATGCGGGGGTACACAAAGCACTCCTGACTGATGGCCATCCGGAGGAGACACCACCAGACTCTAAGGAGGCAGCATATTCCACTGCCGCACAGCTCTCACTGTCAGAAAGTTATTTCTAATGTTTAGGAGGAATCTTTCTTTCTGAAATTTGAAACCATTGCTCCCTGCTAAAATCAGAGAATAATATCACGACACACAAGCTGAAAATGCTTACCTTAAGCTTCATAATCAATTAAATTTAGCATCAGTTTCCTAACTCATTAACTCAATCTCAGTTTCAAACCATTTCCTAAGCAAAATAGTTACTCCAAAGCCCAAAGACACAAATCTGTCCAGGAAAGATTTGCTGCATTTTACCTATTTCAAACATTCACTTTTTAAAAAAGGTACTTTAAAATGTGTTCAAGATGCAGCTACCGAAACATATTTAGGCCTTTTTTTAGTTCTAGGTCAGCCCCTTGACTTGTTCTCACGCAGCTTTGCAAAGACCTTAGCTTACATAAATAATCACCTTTGTTCTTTCTGTGTCTTACTTCTAATCTTCAATTTCAAAAATTCAGGGACACTCAAATTTTATACCCTACAGGGATTGAACTTATTTTTCCTCTCTAAAATTACTCCTTTTAACCTGCTATAAAGATAATGAAGGGAATGTTCCCTATGGCAAAAACTTTTGGAATGTAGTGATATTCGCTACATTGGTCCATGAGGATCTACATTAGCTATCATGCAAATAGCATACATTCTCATAAGGATAGGTTTTTAAAATTCCCCTTTAGCAGCTAATAGTGTGCAGGTATGAAAGTGGAAAGAGAGTATCCCCACAGTATAGGATATTATGGCTCCAGTGTCCATTACTTTCTTGGAAACATGTTTAGGACTATGAGTTTAATGAAGCTCTTCTAATGAATGCAAAAGTTAAGCCTTTAGGATTAGAGATAATGCAGGGATAGTAAGCTGAAGTCCTCCTGTTAAGTACTGCCTAATTTTCAGTGGACTACCTAAGAGCTGCTTACAGAAGCCCTACCTGAACATATAGCCAACCTGCAAAGAGGCAGCTGACCATCAACCCCAGGTCTACATGGGTAGGCCTCCCAGTTTTGTTCTGATATTCGAGCACTGAATGACATGTTGAAGAGGAGAGATGATGTGTTTGCATTCTCCTTTTGGACATTACATATGTAAACACCAAGGGGCAACAGGTGCACTTACTCTATGCTTTACATTTGCAGTATAACAAATGGAAAAATGATGTCCAAACAGCCATCCAGAGTAACTTTATTTACTTCATTTCTTGTACAATGATATCTGAACCAGCAAGGCATCTGTGACTGTCTTAGGCAAGACTCAAAATCACATAACACATATTAATTATGCTTGAACTAGCACAAAGGTGATAGTGAATTAGTGAAAAAGACTTACGATATTTATTTATTTAGTTATTTACTGTAGTTATATACTGCTTTTCTCACCCAGGAGGTGGGGGGGGGGGGGCTCAAGTTGGTTTACAACATACTAATGGCAAATATTCAAGGCCAACATAGTGTACACAAAGAAATCATAATAACTAATTACTACATATAACTATGAATTTAAATCAATTAAAACCATTAAACATAAAACATACATAAAATTTAAATATTCAGACAAAGCATAAAATCATCCTAATATAAGCATTAAAATCCCATGATCCAGAAATCGTATACCATAGCCATTCCGAATTGTCATTGCACAATTATTCTTTTTGTACTTAAAACTATAAATGTCACCAAAGCTGCTTCCATCAAATATTGACTCAAAAGGATAGACATGTGTGATTTGACACAAGCAATAGTTTGCTTTAATCTATTTAATTAATTTCCCACTGTGTTGATTAAATCAAATGGTGATGTCAATCAAATCAATTCCAGTTCGAGATTATAATGCAACCAAATGTGGAAAGGCCAAGGATGAGGGGATTGAGGTAAATACATCTGCAAGGTGTTGCAAGTATTTCTGTTATTAAAGCAAGATGTTTTGCATACAGCATGGGCACAGCTTCCTTTTACCTACTCTAATAAGCTTCACTTTCTTCCAATATTTTAGCTGTACATCTTTCATCAAAGCCATCCAAAATGAATAGGGGACATCCAGAATGGATCGGAATGACATCATCCTAGCAAATCACTTACAACTGCAGAGTTTTGTTATATCTCTTTTTCTATTAATGAATTTTAAGGTAAAGGTAAAGGTTTCTCCTTGACATTAAGTCTAGTCGTGTCTGACTCTAGGAGGTGGTGCTTATCTCCACTTCTACGCCAAAGAGCTAGCGTGGTCCATAGACACCTTCAAGGTCATTTGGCTAGCATGACTGCATAGAGCGCTGTTACCTTCCCGCCAAGGTGGTACCTATTGATCTACTCATATGTGCATGTTTTCAGAATGCTAGATTGGCAGAAGTTGGGCCTAACAGTAGGAGCTCACCCCGCTCCCCGGATTCAAACCACTGACCTTTCATTCAGCAAGTTCAACAGCTCAGTGATTTAACTCGCTGCGCCACTGGGAGCTCATTTTAAAGGGGATCTAAATCATATGACAAAAGACTGTAATAAAAGGGAGCTGCAATCCTATACATCAGGGGTGAGAGTCATGAAGGTGCTGTTTCACAGAAAACCCCAGCGGAGCCTAGCCAGCAGAGCCAATGCTGAGGGATGCTCAGAGTTGCCAGTTGCATGATTCTCATCCCTACTGTACACAGAATCATAGAATCATGAAGTTGGAAGAGACCTCGTGAGCCATCCAATGCAACCCCCTGCCAAGAAGCAGGAAAATGGCATTTCAAAGTAAATCCCAATGAGCTTAATAGGACTCAAGTCTGGGCATGAATGCATAGGATTGCATGGCAGCTCAATAAAACTAAGTATTTATAAGGTAAAAGTATATATGAATTAATTAGTTGTTAGAACTGTGTATCATACAGGACAATTAATGCATATTGCAGTATTTGTCACTTGCAGAAACAGCTCACACTTTGTCACACAAGACTTAAAAATTCTCCAACTTATTGTCATTAACGCCTACTTTTATTAAAACACATGCAGTTATAAAAAGCTGCAATAAAGCAGAACTTTGTCCTTGATGAAATATCAAAAAAGGGTATTATAATATTGAGAAACTGAACCATCAATCTCCTTGTCAGTATTGTGAAAGAATAGTTCTTAGGGGGGGAAATCATGCTGAAACAGACCAAAGAAGTATTTTGCATGCATTGTCACACGCGGTACAGGAAATGTCTGATGCCACACTACTGAAGTATGAGAAGAGAATGTTCCCTACCTGACTGATCCCAGTGGGAGGGATTTTATACGACTGAAGCTTCTGCTTGAGCAGTTCAGGATCACTGTGGCGGAATGGGCATCCTGAAAACAAAGAACACAAGCAAGCCCACTCACAAGGCTATTTACCCAGGCATTGACACAACATCACACTTGAGAAGATGGCTAAGCCATTAATCATTATCTTCACAGCTTATTAATGTATGTGTTTTTACAAGCCCAACTGCCCATGTACACAATTGTTTGATTCTTTTTCTAAATGATTAGTTCACTGGACAATATCATGGCTCCCCGGGCTCAAGAACTTACACCGTGCATTAAAAGAAGCAGGCCAACGTTCTCATTCATTTAGGTGAAAAACATCCAGTGGCTCCCTTGTAAATATCAAAATTCAGCCCCCAAAGTGTGGCAGCTACACCAACAAAAAAGGCTGAAATAGTTTAGATATAGCAAACAAATGAAAAAGTAAAATATGTTCTTAAGTGGTGTTCAAACAGCTATGAAGGCTCACCACTGGACGGGTGAGCAAACAATGCTTCTTATACCATAGATCCACAGAGGATAAAGCCATCAATGGCTACTAGTCACAATAGCTGTATTTTAGTTCTAGTATCAGAAGCTATATACCTTTGAATACTCATTACTGCAAAAGGAGGAGAACGTTACTGCATTCCTGTTTGCTTATGGGCTTATCTATTTGGCCACTCTGGGAACCGAATCTTTGGTCTGATCCACTAAGACTCTTTCTTATATTCCTAAATTACACTAAAAGCATTTTGGTTCAATGTTTTCACTGGTACAAAAAAAGTAAAGGTTTACCCTTGACATTAAGTCTAACCAATTCCGACTCTGGGGGGTGGTCCTTATAATAACTTCGAGATATATCTGGGCAGGGTGGAACAATCAATCCCACCGCTGCCACCAATTATAAGGACTTAGAGAGGCTTAGCAAGGCAGGGGGGTCAAAGAATCCCACCGCTGTCCCTCCTTCAATAAGGAATTCACACCACTTTAGCTCCCATAGCGTTTGGGGAATGTCTATTTATTTAAAACCTTCGCTGCCACCATAAACTAAAGAAACACGAACCCTCTAGCTATTTAGAATGCTAAAAAGGCTGTTTAAATTATTAAAAGGCTCTTCTACTCCACCAAATACTGTGTATTATCAAGGGCTTTCTTTGAGGGTAACCGGAGAGGTTGATTCAACAAGGGAAAAGGACTCCAACCAAAAATGGCACTTGACTCAGGCTTCAATTTTAAAAATAACAAGAAAGAGTTTATTGATTACAAGTTACAGAATTAAAAGTGAATGCAGGTTCAGAGGCTTGGCTGTTACAAATAAAAGTGTTCTTGGTTCTTATAAGCGTAATGGTTACTTGAGAGAATGGTTCTTTCCCTTGTTACAATTTCTTAAACACAAAACCCAGCTATTTTCTTTCCTAAAAATAGCTGTAACCCAGTCTGCCACAGCCTACTTTACTGTGCAAACTTCAGGCAAGCTGCCTATTCTTAACAGAGACTCCTAAAACATCCAAATCCTACTCTAACCTCTCTCAGAACTGAACTGCTCTCTACTCTACTCAGAACTGAACTGAACTCTTCTGAACTGTCAAAATTATCTGTTCTCTTTCCCTCCATCTGGCTAACTCCGCCCCTCTTTCCCAAACCAATCCTGGCTGTTGCTGGGCTGGCTCAGGCCTAGGCCACTCCCCCCTCTCTGAGCTGGAGTTTCCCTAACCTAAGATGGCTCCAGCAGCTCCCTGCCAGGCCTTCCAAGCTGAAACTACCTAGCCTGTCTCTTCCTGGGCCCTGCCACCCTGGCTGGCAAGGTAAGGGATCTTCACAGTCCTCATCTCCATTTCTAAGCCAAAGAGCTAGCGTTGTCCCTAGACACCTCCAAGGTCATGTGGCCAGCATGACTGCATGGAGCGCCGTTACCTTCCCACAGAAGCGGTACCTATTGATCTACTCACATTTGCATGTTTTTGAACTACTAGGTTAGCAGAAGCTCAGACTAACAGAGGGAGTTTAAACCGCGGATACTTAAACCCCACAAAAAATCATTACTTTGCTGGTAAAGTAATCATAAGCAATATAAAACTGAACTCATTAGATAGCTGTGGCTATGGAACTGTGTTTAAAATAAATGGAAATGAATGAACGCTTCCAACACTTTTTAAAAACAGTACTCTGGTTAAATGTATTCAAGTTATGCATTCCAGCATGAATGACATAAATAGATATGAACAGTGATCAGGACAGTCCCTATGTGTGACACACAAAAAACACAATGAAGAACTGTTATTTGCCTTCTTTTCAGATGCCTCCCATACACTTACTTTATCCTAAACATAATTAACAAGTAAATTTTCAAAAATAGAACCCTACTTTAGGGCACTGGAATTAACTGATTGGGAATAAGTGGAGTAAACAAGCCACTATAATTGGCTGGCGACTTTCTATGGAGTAGGTCTCTCACCAGCTGCTGTCGAAGGGGAAATAGAATGAACATGTCTTGTAGTCTGAGTTAGTCTACCAATTCTAAGGTGTCATTCCTCCAAAAGAATTCCATAGCATTTTAGAGAATAGGGGCAAAACATTACTTTTTAATTATGCAACTTGAGGTTTCTATGCAACACAAACTTGTGAGTGCATTTTTGATATCAAATTCCTTCTTAAGAGAATGTCTGCAAGGGAATATCTGTTTTTATATACTGAGACTTCAGACGAGTCAGAGATGTGCACTTTTACCCCATTAGTATTTCATTCTAGAGAGATTTGTAAAATTTAAAATATTTAATATGATTCATGAGAGGAGTCAAGAAAAATCAAATGATGGATTGCCATCTGAGGGTGTGCAAGCTAAGAAAAAGTACTGAGGAACTTTGTTGTTTGTCTTGAGACATCTTAGGCGAGAGAAAAAAAGCGGAAAAGCAGCAGCAGAAGCAAGAAGACACAAGATGCACTGAAAAGCTCAGTGAAGTGCATATTGAACTGCTGCGGAATGAACCTCTCTTGCTTGACCTAGTTCTGTAATAAGACAAATCACTAGAAAAGTAACAGCACACTAGGTTTGACATTGATGGCTGGCATAAGCTGCAAAACTAACTTCTGCCAGTGTTACAACCAGCCAATCAGGGCGCTCCCAAAGCCTCTGGGTCCCCATGCACTGTGAACATGTCAGGTATAAGCACTCACCATGGTAATCCCCTTGGCCTGGTGGATTGGACATGATAATTTTCATGCAGCTAAAGGGAGTATAATCAGTTCTCTTGCCTTCTTTTCCATAGCTATGCCGGATGTTGTAAGCATATCCTTTGTCGAACTGAATAGTAAAAACATTCAAAAGAACATTACTTTCTATTTTAATTGTACATGGCAAAGGATAAGGGAGATGTCTACAATTTAAGCAACTGGAGAAAAGGAAATATTGAGATGTGAACGCCTCGCATTTTATATCTTCTTGCTACAACAATTTGAAAGAAAATATTGAAACGATGATCAGCAATGAATTGTTAGGCCCCATCTACACTGACCATTTAATGCAGTTCAAAGTTAGCTTCAAACTGTGGCAGCCAAAAAACAAAAGTGCGCAAAAGAAAGCTCTTAATGCACATCAGTGCTCTGTGGTTTGTGCCATCCCCACCCAGACCTCAAACTGGTTCCAAGATTTCCTGTGTAATCATCTGCACAGCAAAGCCACTTTCTTCAATAGTTTTGAAACTACATTAAATGATCAGTGTAAGTTATCCATGAGTTGGAAATAACTGTAGAAACTTGGCACTGCAAATTCATTCACAAGTTTTCTACTATTACCACTCCTTCTCCTGGACTTGTTGAATAGAAACCAAGAAATCAAATATGATCAGTTTGAGAAAAACATTTCAAGCACCATTAAGACCCATCATTTTGTGAGTAACACAACAAGGTTATGCATATCTGTAAAGAAGTAAATTCTACTGAGATCCACAGGATTCTCCCTAGTAAAGAGATCCAGGATGAGCAGCTTTAGGCCTCATTGAACTCTATGTCTCAGCTAGAACAGACCCATTGAATCAACAGCATCAACACTTAGATATGATGCATTGATTCAGTGGATTTACTCTAGTTGGGACTAACTACTAGATTTAGGCCTAAGAGTTTTAAAGTCCACATCTATAAAAGTTAATGCTTCTGAAATGACTGAGAGAGTAACCAAACATTGTAATCAACTCAAACTCTGTGGGCAAACATCTGTTCCTTTATACCTTCTTCTCAAATTATAGAGCAATTGGCCTTAGAAGATTTCAGAAAGGTTTATTCCATTTGTTGAGTAATATTATCTACTCCAGTATGTGTGTGTGTGTGTGTGTGTGTGTATAGTTCCTTTGACCACTGCGCTCCATGAGACTAAAGCCCCTTCTACACAGCCATATAAAATCCAGATTATCTGCTTTGAACTGGATTATATGTCAGTGTAGACTCATATAATCTAGTTCAAAACAGATGTGGGTTATCTGCTTTGATAATCTGGATTATATGACAGGGTAGAAAGGGCCCAAGACCCTTCATCAGGGTAAGCAAAATACAGTAAAACTTGCCAACTACAACTCCAAGGGTAGATGGAAGTTGCAAGAACATCTGAAAGACACTGTCCACTTCTGTCGTAAATGATGCACTAATTGAAATAGGTTAATGAAAAGAAAAGGAGCATTCTTCTTTCATTCATTTAAGGTCCCTTCTACACTGCCATATACATCCAGATTATCAAAGTAGGTAATCCACATTATCTGCTTTGAACTGAATTATATGAGTTTACACTGCCATATACTCCAGTTCAAAGTAGATAATATGGATTTTATATGGCAGTGTAGAAGGGGCCTTGGTCCTATGGAGCTCAGTGGTCAAAGGAACTGGAGTGGAAAATATTAGTAAAAAAGTGGAATAAACCTTGGTGGAATTTTCTAAGGCCAGTTGCTCTTTAATTATGTGAGTCTACACTTTCATATAATCCAGTTCAAAGCAGATAATCTTACTCTAGTGTAATTAGCTGAAGGAAGTATGATTTGTACTTGGATCTTTTGAAAATGTAGCAGTTTACATTCTGCAACAGAACATGTGTTCTTTTCCAAAGCAAAGTCATATAAGAACAGAATGAACTTAACCATAGTAACGTTTCTAAAAATTGTTATGCTACTACTGAAGATCTATACAATCTAGTTCATCCAAGGATCAATTTATTCAGCTTTATGGAATATAAACATCTCATATACAATAATCATATTGAACAGCTGAGGCTCCTACTTTCGGAAATTAGATGAATTCCAGATACACATGGCAAGAATTCAAATTAATACTGACAGAAATGCCTTTCTGTTTTAAACGGCAGCTCCTAAAATGTATGTTAAGAAGGAACAATCTGATATAACATTTGTTGCGAACCATTCAGTGTGGGATGTAGTTTGTGTGCTTAGTTATACAAGATGGGGAAAATAATATGTTTAAATTTTCATTACAGACTTGTTTGAAGTAATTGGGCATGGAATATAATGATACAATTGCAAGCTTTCAGAACATGCACTGATAAAAATTACAAAGAAATGTACACAATATTTCAGATATCTAGTGACAATGGGATTTGTCAGTGTAACTTTTGAGTACAAAAAGTGTTGCATTTAAGGAAATGCATAACATTTGCAATAACTTTTGACAGCCTTTTGAAATATACATATTAAGTAATCCATCATTATAGAATGTAGTTTATTTGTCATTCAATTTCCTTTAGTAGTTTTCCCAAAAGAACATGCTTAAGAAGTGAATTACATAGAATTTAGCTCAAATGCTTGAATCGGGTGGTCTCATAAAAATGCTATAAAGATGCAAAATTCTAAGTTAGACTAGTTTCTCTTTAGATCATATAAAGTTAGACTGAATACATCACTGGCAGAGTAAGTAACCTTTAAACTTAACAGGAAATAGCCCGAAAAGGATAACATGCCATAGGATAAATGCATATGCAGGACTGCAGAGCTGCAGGAGATGTTTAAATGTTAAAATTCCACACAAAATTCCCCAAAGTTGAAATGACAGAATCTAGTGGACCTTGCATTGGATCAGGATCACTTGATTCAGGCACCTGAGCTAAAGCTTTTCAAACTGAGGGAAATGTGGCATGGCAAAGTTTCCACTGTGTGCAAACACACCTCATACAAGGTTTTCTGTGGTTTCCTTGTGTCGTTTCTTTACTTGTTCCCTTCTCATGCTAATCATTCCGCACTAGATGTAATGCTGTACCTCCCTCCCTAAAACTAATGGAATAATAAAATCAAACAATTTATAGGAAACATGGAGCCCTCGGTGGCGCAGTGGGTTAAACCCCTGTGCCAGCAGGACTGAAGACCGACAGGTCGCAGGTTCGAATCCGGGGAGAGGCAGATGAGCTCCCTCTGTCTGCTCCAGCTCCTCATATGGGGACATGAGAGAAGCCTCACACAAAGATGATAAAAACATCAAATCATCCGGGCGTCCCTTGGGCAACGTCCTTGCAGACGGCCAATTCTCTCACATCAGAAGTGACTTGCAGTTTCTCAAGTCACTCCTGACACGACAATAGATAGATAGATAGATAGATAGATAGATAGGAAACAGGAAGCAAAAGAAAATGGTTGGAAAACCTAAAATCATATCTTTCCTGTTAGGCAAGGAAATAAGAAAAGCTGAAACACCGAAAGCAAAGCATGCATTAAGATAGATAGATATCCTTAAAGTATTTAATGTATGCGGGATCAAATGGGCATAAAAGCCTTATATTTAATTGTTCACCAGACACTATCCATAGAATGGAATTAGCAGTAAGAAATTTTATATTAGGATTGTTCTGGATTTCAACTATTCAGCGTCACTTATTTTAATAAGTATCTGTCATGCCCCCACAGACACTTCTGCTATTTTCCCTGAGTTGGGCTTCCCTTAGGACTTCATCAGTTGGTCGGCGATGCTCTCCTTAACAGAGAAGGTGGAGGCAGTCATTTTGTCTCACCTCATTTCTCTCCACTTTTCTGGTTGTCCTGGTGATCCCACAGAGGGAAGCTTCCCTCCACTGCCCAGGCAACACAGGAGGCTTGTTGCCAGATCCAGGCTGCCTCCATGAGGGGAAGCCGTATGAACTATGCACATACCTCGCTTCCCTCCATGGAATGGCAGTGCCAACCTGGCGAAATGAGGCGGGGCGAGAGCCTGAGGCCTTGCCATTAAGGAGAGTGCATGCCAGCAGCTTCCGTTGCTGTCGCTGCGCATGTGATAAGGTCCTTAGTTAGAGGGTTAATTCTTTTACTGTATAGATTATAGGTGGGTCACAAAGTTAACTCTTTCATTTTAAGAACCCCCCTCCCACCAGAGGCGGAGCCTCATTGCCACTTCCAGCAGCTTCATTGGAGCCAGTTGAGCAGTAGAACATTTGGTATTACAAGCTAAAGAAACCTTGCCACATGTGCATAGAAGACAAGGAAGAAGGGACATGAAAGAAGGCAAAGTTAGCAAAAGTTATAGTTGAGTCAAGCCTCCAACATTTTCTAAAGCCTTTTGGCTGTTTATCCCAGGAGGAGTTAGAATTTGGACTTTTTATTATTTTATTAATTCCTTGTGAACTGTTCTTCTGTATAAATCAGCTCTGCTCATGGTGAGATTGTGAGATTGGGACACCTTCCAAAGATAGTTTGCAGGGGTAGAACAGTATCATTTCACTTTCCCACACATTATACAATGCTGGTATCACAGGGCTTGTCCACATCAGCAAAATAATCCAACTGAAATTCAAATTTTTCTGTACCAGAGGTTAGATTCACCCTGTTAGTGCCACACTGACCTGTAATATACTGCATGGAATTGAGTGGATGTCTACACACCAAATTCAAACCAGCAGTTTTACTCTTCCTCCTCCTCCAAAATGATTTGTCACTGCCTATCTGTCAGGTCTACTTTCACTGCTTCTAATGTCTTCCTGCCAAAGTGCTTCACAGCAGAGCCATGCTTGGAGAAGATGTCAGCAGACACCAGCAGAAAGGAAGAGTCAGGGACACACACCCCCCCCCCCCCCCCCCGCCTTGTGTTCCACTGCTTCCCAGCAATAAAACAAAGGAGAAAGGAAGGAAATGGCAAATCACTTGGTAGGAAGAAACCTGTTTGGCCAGAAAGGTAACCAATGTGATGGACACAAGTAGAAAGGAAATTTCAGGGACCTCCCACTCCTCCACACTCTACTACTCGGTGCCAAAAATAAAGAGATCTCTAATTGCAGACAGCATAGACCCCAGCAAGTAGTAAAGACCATGTTTTTAAAATTGTGAT